TCCCAAGGCATGTCCCTCAAGCAACACAGTGTCCAACTGCAGTACAGTTTGTTCCCAAACATGAGATTAGAAGGAAAAGACCTGCAGTTCTGTCTCCCTTCTCTCTGCCATCTGCACCTGATACCAAGAACTCAAAAGTCTTTACTCTGCTCAGCTGTACATAACCTCTAGGTGTAAGAGATCAAGATGTAGCTTTCCTATGCAGATGGTGAACAGGCACGTGAAAAGATGCTCAACATCACTAATCATCGGGGAAATGCAAATCAAAACCACAAGAAGATATCACCTCACACCTGTCAGGATGCCCATCATGAAAAAGAACACAAATAACAAACGTTGGTGAGGATGTAGAGAAAAGGAAACATTTCTACACTGCTGGTGGGAATGTAAATGGGTATGAGGAGAACAGTATGGAGATCACTTTAAAAAACTAAAAATAGAGCTACCATGTGACCCATCAATTCCACTCCTGGGTATATACCCGAATAAAACAAAAACACTAATTAGAAAAGACACATGCACCACAGTTGTTCATTGCAGCTCTATTTGCAATAACCAGGACATGGAAGCAACCTAAGCATCCATCAACAGATGAATGGGTGAAGAAGATGTGGTACGTATATACAATGGAACATTACTCAGCCGTAAGAAAGAATAAAAATTTGCCATTTGTAACAACATGAATGGACTTGGAGGGCATTATGCTAAGTGAAATAAGTCAGACAGAGAAAGACAAAAATTGTATGAGATCACTTACATGTGGAATCTAAAAAATACAACAAAGTAGTGAATATAACAAAAAAGAAGCAGACTCAGATATAGAGAACAAACTAGTGGTTACCAATAGGGAGAGGGAAGGGGGAGGGGCATGATGGAGATCGGGGAGTAAGAGGAACAAACTATTAGGTATAAAATAAGTTACAGGGATATACTGTACAGCATGGGGAATACAGCCAATATTTTATAACTATAAATGGGGTATAACCTTTAAAAATTGTAGGGCTTCCCGGGTGGCGCAGTGGTTGAGAGTCCGCCTGCCGATGCAGGGGACAAGGGTTCGTGCCCCGGTCCGGGAAGATCCCACATCCCGCGGAGCGGGCTGGGCCCGTGAGCCATGGCCGCTGAGCCTGCGCGTCTGGAGCCTGTGCTCTGCAATGGGAGAGGCCACAACAGTGAGAGGCCCGCGTACAGGAAAAAAAAAAAAAAAAAAAAAAAATGTGAATCACTGTATTGTACACCTGTAATTTATATAATATTATACAGCAAATTCAATAAGAAAATTTAATTTAAAAAACTAGTTTCCTGACAACATGGATATGTATATTCCATCTGCCTTTAACAGGAGGTGCATACTTTAATCATTGGATTACTTTGTTATTTAAGTTACTCTGTGGGACTTCCCTGGTGGTCCAGTGGTTAAGACTCCGCACTTCCAAATCAGGGGGCACGGGTTCGATCCCTGGTGGGGGAACTAAGATACCACAGGCCACGTGGCGCAGCCAAAAAATAAAAAAAAAAGTTTTTAATTAAAAAATAAAAATAAAAGTTACTTTGTGTTTTATGAGAATGTGTTTCAATGCACACACGAGCATATGTGCACACACAGTCAAACACACTAATCTACGATGTAGAAACTAAAATGCTACAGTGGTTATCTCTGTGGCAGAAGGTTGATAGGTTTAGTCTGTTTTTTGCTAATTTATGTCTTTCAGTTCTTCTACAAGGAATTGTATTACTCGTGTAATTTTTTATTTAAAAACTCTGGACTTTATAAGGAACTAATATACACATTGTTTTTGATTCCTAAAGACTGACCACTGGAAAATGTTAGCTAGGTCCAGGGTATTTCTGACCATTTTCACTATGACTCTCCCCCCAATTCTACACACTTGATAACTAGTTGGTTCTCTAGACACATAGCCCTGTTGGAATATTTATGTTGTTTCTTTTTATGGATTTCTTTATTCCCAAAACTGTATTTGGAATAAATCAATGCCTCGTGAGTTTTCCTGTAGATTTTATTAGTATTTCTCCTTAAATTTGAGCGCCATCAGTTACCTAGCAGACAGTGGCATACCAGCTTGGGATTTGGGGTTTATGATCACGTTAAAGAGGAGACCTAACCAGCAAGCAAAGAGTGTAATGAATAGTGGTTTTTTATAGAACAAAGGAGACAGCTGAGCAAGGTGTATAAAATTCAGACTTCAAATCTCCCCTTTTGGTGATGGCACCTCAACCAAACTGGCCTGGACGTAGTGATTTTCATTTCTCTGCTGTGGGAGCATGGCATCTCCCTTAAGCTGTCCTTAGCCCTGTGTCACTCTAGTAAACCCAGTGATGAGAGCCGTCAAAGAAAGCGGGACCGAATCTAGTTGATTGGTGAGCATGCGTGTCCCCAGATCACCAAGTCTTAGATGAGCTTGAATCTGGATGTCTTAGTGTTAATCTGAGTGGAATTTTGGGTGTTTTGTTTGTTTTTACCAAAGTTCAAACTTTCTAAGGCAGTTTTCATGAGGCTGGAAGTTTGGGCTCCTGTGCCTGCATTGCCACCTCTCTCAGAAACCCTTGCCGAGATCCTCAGCCTTCTCAGGCACACCTCCAGACTTCAACCTGCCCGTCTGCACCGTCCGGATATAAGCCTCTTCCCTTGCGTTCTTCACCACTGGCTCACAGCAGCGATCTTGAGAAACTGTGATGCTATCCATCAGAGGAAGCAGGTGCCAAACACTGGGGTTTCAGCGTGAACGATACGATCCCTGCTGTCTAGCTGGAACTGTAAAGCCTACAGTGAACCAGAGATCATGGTCTAAAGGGAGGAAAAAGTTCACAGGTTGTTAAGATGCAGATGAGAAAAGGGCTGCCACTGGGGCAGCACAAGGAGAAATGGGAGCACCCAACCTGGACTTGGGCTGGGGGTGGGCGGGAAGGCATCTCAGAGACTTTCCCCCTTGTGATTTGGACACTGCCCTGTCCCAGTACTGACTTCATTGTTATTGTCTGTTTCCCCCAAAACACTGAGAGCTGCCCCAAGAATTAAGACTTAGTCATCTTTAGATCCTTGGCATGTTGTTGCCTGGCACATAGCACCCCCATATATATGTTTATCGAACGGAACCGTCCTCTTTTATCTCCTCGTTTCTTTGTTTTTTTAATAAGAGCTTTATGGGGACATATTTCACATACTATAAAATTCACACATTTAAAGTGTACAAAATATGTTCATTCAAAGCAATGGTTTTTCACTCAGTGGTTTTCAGTATATTCACAGAGTTGTACAACCTTCAGCACTATGAAATTCCAGAACGTTTTCATTACCTTGAAAAGAAACTTTGTACCCTTTAGTGGTCATCCCCCATTCTCCCCTCCCTCCAGGCCTTGGCAACCACTCATCTAATTTCTGTCTCTAGGAATATGCCTGTTCTAGATATTTCACACAAATGGAAGAGTATCTGGCTTCTTTCACTGCATGTTTTCAAGCTTCATCCTTGTTGTACCATGTAACAGTACTTCTTTCCTTTGAGAATGTAAAAAAGAATATATTTGTACAAATATATATATATATATATATATATATATATATATACCACATTTTGTTTCTCCATTCATGATTTGATGGACATTTCAGTTGTTTCTGCATTTTGAATTTTATGAATAATGCTGCTTTGAACCTTCATGTATGAGTTTTTGTATGGATACATGTTTTCACTTCTCTTGGGCGTATACCTCAGAGTGGAATTGCTGGGTTATATGTCACTTTGTGTTTAACCTTTTGAGGAACGGCCAGTGTTGTTTGGTTGTGCTATCATAATATCACAAGTTTGCAGAATCCTTTTTTTTTTAGATGGTCTTATTCATTCTACCTGAAGTTAACTGTCTATTTTTAGAAAAAGACCAACATAACTTATACTGGGGGGCTGGAAGTCAGGAGATCTGGATTTTAGTCTCTGCTGTTAATTTCTAGTGTGAGCCCGAGGACGGCCAAACCTCTGAAGGCCTGTTCACCTCAACACTACCTGCTCTCCCAGGACCTTTCCAGCTATAAAGTTTTCTGAATTTATTGCATGCTGCCCTGGTTCCAAAGTAGATCAAGTCCCCCAAGAACAAGTGCAGAAATAAGCCTTTGGAAAGAGGCTGTGTTATCCAGAGCACCCCAGGTGTCTCAAATCCCAGCCTCTCTGGATCTCTCCATATAAGCCCAGGCCCAGGGATTCTCAATTCTAGATGTACATTAGAATCACCCAGAGAGCTTTTAGGAAAGTCAATGCCTATGTTTCCACACCCTAAAGCCACTGAAATAAGATTCTCTGAGAGGATTGGTTTCTCAGATTCAGTATTTTGAAACAGTTGATTCTAAGATTCAATAATTTTCAACAGGGTGATTCTCAGGTCTAATCAGGAATCTATTGTATTACAGTGTTAGGAATAAGAAAAGAAACTGTTTCCCCAGTTCAGTAATCTAAGTTAGTAACTGGGGTGTGAAAATGGGTACAAACCCTTTCAGGAGCAAAGAACAGGTTGCTCTTGAAAGACCTTATATTTTCTTTTTAATAATTACCCATAATGTTATGTATAACAAAAATGATAAATCCACTTATAAATAAATTTTTTAAAAAATCCCGGCCTCTCTGCCACATCCATTGGCTGCAAGAGCCTCCGGGCCTGTTCCCACCTGCACAGCAAGAGTGAGCACACCTGTTTCTAAGGCATTCCGAAATCCCGGGCCTGTTAACTCTGTAAATGTGAACTGAGGTCCTGGGGAAATATAAGATACTGAGAAAGTGTATTAGGTCACTTTTTAAAATGTTTTCTTGTTCAATGTTTTCCTTACCTTGTATATTTAAAACGAAACGATCACAAGATGTAAACTGTAAAGCAAAAATTGTATTAAAATGTACAAAACAAGTCAGCCCTGCTTCCTCATCCACCTTCCTCCTCCAGGCTATGGTGTGTCTTTAACATGATATTGTTTTCTCACACGCTGCTTCTTTCCTTCTACACAGGCTACATCCCCAGTTACTTAGACAAGGACGAGCTATGTGTCGTGTGTGGTGACAAAGCCACCGGCTACCACTACCGCTGCATCACGTGTGAAGGCTGCAAGGTAACTGCCCTGGGGCCAGTGAGCCCCGATCCAGCCCCTTCCAGGAGTCCTCCAGAATGCAACCCGAAGTTTTAGTTCCTATTAGAGCCAAATCCTGACATTCATGGCCTGTGTTCGTCCTCTTCATTTGGGGGGGGGGGGGG